TCCCTGTCACTCAGTATTTGCCTAAATACTTTGGCACTCAAATAGGACACCATCATGGGAACTTGTACTTATGTTTCCAGTATTTGTAGTGTTCTTTGTGAGTTCCTACAACCCCCATATTTTCAGGAGTAGAAGTTCCTTCTTCTTTACGCATGGACTATTTGTTATTGTATCTGTTCAGAGTTCAGTGCTTTGGCAGGGCTGGCCTCCCTGTGTCTTTGCTTAGCAGCATCATCCTGGCTTGGTTCTGGGTGGTCCATTTCTTCTCCAGATTCTCTAAGGGTCCCTCCTCACTCCCACCACTTTTATTTTTCTTTCTTTAGCTATTTTGCTGCTTAAGTCATCTGAGGTGGAACTTTTGGAGTCCTTGGCTTTTTGTGGTATTTTAACACTTATGACCTAAGGCAGGAGGAGCTGCATTTTCGGCTCTTTTCTTCTCTCCCGCTTCCCTCTTGAGGACCCAGATAAAATTCTTTGAGGGAAAGGATTCTTGGCAAACTGTCAGAACTTTCTTCTTCTTTTTTGTCTTTAATTGTGTAAACAGAACATTCCAGAGCCCTGCGATGTTATTTTCCACAAATGCCTTATGAAGAATATATTTTGCTGGAGGAAATCTAGAGCATTCCTATCCAAGCTCACCTGGGCTTCCAGCATATGGGTGACTTTAGCTTGGCTGCATTGGGCCCTGCTCAGAGGCTGAGGCCTGTCTTGCAAATTAAATGGCCTAGGTCTTATTTCCAGATTCCATAATCAGCTTTATTCCACAAACCTCTAACATTGTTTTATAAGCCAAGAGGTAACTTCTTATTGCTTCTGCTTATTTACTCTTTTTAGTTCCTCAATTTAAAATATAATTGTTTCTGTAGCTTCAGTTCCAGCTTTATCTTCCCAGGCAAGAAACTCCCAGCTGGAAATGGTTGAGCCCCACTCGGCTTTTTAAGAAATTCTCTTTTATAAACCCTGGTCCAGGGCCAGGATTTGCACAAATCTTTATGCATAAAGACTCCTCTCTGGCTGAGCAGATGACTCTAGGATTCCCATCATCTTCCCCACTCGGCCCACCTCCGGTAGTCCTATTGCCAAGAGGCAGAGCAGGGGCAGGGCAGGAGGGTGGCAGTGGAGCCAGGGCAAGGGACTAGAGCATCCAGATTTCCACCAACCATGCATCAACCTCCCGTCTGCTTTGTAAAAGGTTTTCTAAGGTTAATTATTCGTATTTTAAAATAGTCATCTTTTTATTTATAAATAAAGGCTATTGCTGCTTTTTGTGATTTCCATAGCAGCCTGTAGCCCACCCACAACAGAAACTGGAGGTGGATCAAGCAAAAGAATAAGTGAACATTTATCTATCCATTTAGCAAATGTTGATCTAGAGGACATGCATGATCTATAATACATATATATAGCAAGATATACTGTGCATACTCACCATATGTAATATATATACTGTGCATACAATACATATACTGTGCACACACACATATATAATTGCATATATTATAATATATTATAATTGCACATATTATAATATATGCAATTATATATGGTGTGTGTGCACAGTATATCTTACTAATCTGTATGTATATATGTGTATATATACAGTGTGTATTTATAGTGTGTATGTACATACAGTGTGTATATACATAAAAAAGGATTATCACAATGTATTCTACAAGTCAGTGTGGTGTTACACTTAAGAAAAATAGCATTTGGATAGGAACAGGAAAATCACAGAAGAAACATGAACAGCAAATAAAAGGGTAAAAAAATTCAGCTCCACCAATGCACTGTGGATTAAGGCGCTGCCTCAGTTCCAAATCCGCTCTGTTCTTTTCTATTGTGATGCTGGGGCTGTGACTCTGAAAACTGCATTTCTCCTGTGCTAGCTGGCTCTCAATTAGGTTCAGCCAGAAGGATTGGAAGGTAGAGGAAGGGAGAAGAGATCTGCCCTTTCTTCTGCACTTCCTGTTTCTCCCGTGTCACCAAGAAACAACAACATTGGCTCCTTTCCCTAGATGCTTTCCACATTCTGTCAGCTAACCTTGTGGCATCCCTTAGCAGTATCTGACATGTTAGGCAAGAGCTCCTTTTCTGCATTGGAAGTCCTAGCATTGAAGGCCTCTTCTCCAAGCTCCTGAGCTGTCCAACCATCCAGTCAATGAACCCTGTTCTGTAGTCTAAACCCTGGCTCTCAAAGCTTCTAGCTTCCCAGAACCACAAACTTTCCCTTTTGTTTCCCCAGCCTTTAGGGTGAACATGCTTCCTGCAATTGCTACCTTTACCTTACCTCTGACTTTCCTAGGCCTCCAGCATCTACTTACCCAATTACCTACATCAAATTCTTTCTGATAAGATAACTAGTATGGCTTCTGTTTCCCCGACTAAACAATGGTTAATATAACAACTACTGTAAGAAAACAAAACAACAACAACAAAAAACCCCAAACCCTGAAACAACATTGATATCTATATATCCATATTCTCAATACATGCATGGTTGTCAATACCTGAGTTTTGGAAGGCTTATGGCCTCATCCTGTAGGCTGGGGATCTCTTTTTATTTCAGAGATGCAGCCTTGGAGTCTACAGGATTCTGCAGGTGCAGAACATTGCAGAACACATGGTTCTGCCTGCGCCTCTGCCCTGAGAGTCCTCATCTCTGGTCACTGACCCTATGCCTAGATGGGCCTTTCCCTGCAGTTGTGCCAAACTATTTTCACTCCCCTCACTGGAAAGCAACAGAGATTTCACAAACCTTGTCAGCTCCTATGAAAGCAATTTTGAGTGGGACTATGAGGATTGTCCCTCTCCTAGATAGGTGGTCCTACAGTTGGAGCTGTTTACCCTGTCATTTAGTGTTCAGATGGTGACTTGAAGTCTCACTGTCCTGACTAATACTGACATTTCCAGGACTTAGGGTTCTCAGGGAACATCACATCCATGTGGCAATTGTCGCAGGTCTCCTAATATGGTATAGAACTTTGGCAAGGTGTGAAGCACTTGTTCATTTTATTCTTTGGGATAATCCTATTCGGTAGGTACAGTCATGCATCATGTAACAACAAAAGTATTTTCTGAGAAACGCATTTTTAAGCAGTTTCATTGTTGTGTGAACCTCATAAGGGTTTACTTACACAGACCTAAATGGTACAGCCTACTACACACTTAGGCTATATGATATAGCCTCTTGTTCCTAGGCTACAAATCTTTACAGCGTGGTGCTGTACCCAATACTATAGATCATTGTAACACAATAGGAAGTATTTGTATATTAAAACATATCTAAACATAGAAATGTACAGTAAAAATATGGTATTATAATTTATGGAAACACCTTTTATATGCAGTCTATCATTGATTGAAACAGTTACACAGCACATGGCTGTATTATCTTTATGAAATATGTGGGGTCTGGGACATGGGTTGAGTTGCTTGCCTGAAGCCAGGCTAGATGGTGCGTACTTTCAATAAATAATAATCAACATTACTATTATTTCTATAGAATTGCATCAGAGAAGGCAGGTCCCATCCTACTTCTGTGAAATGGGAAGCCCTGCTCCAGTCTAGTAGGCTTGTAGACTACCACCTTCCTACTACGACTGTATAAAGGTAAAAATAGTGAAGGATCAGGGGAATGAGAGCTTGAGCCAGGTCCTGGGGCCAGGCTGTTACTAGATTTTCTACCCTTGACAACTACAATAGAGTGAATTTTATATTGTGTTTAATTTTCAAGGGAGTTTTTTGAAAAAAATAATGTGTTTTAAAACAGGTCCTTTTTTCAGGTAAAAATGAAGAAAACTGGGATGAGGTAGATATGTAATGCAATGGACATGGAACTGTGAGACCTTAGAAGCCAAGTTATCTGAGGCAAGGAATCTTTCAATGGGATGGCACTGAGGCTGGTTTTGTGGCTCTCCTGACAAGCTGAGCTTTAATCAACTATAAATATTCTCTTTAGGGACATCTTTCAGTCACTGGGACCTTAGATTATCCTGATCCCAATTGAACTTTTGAGAGTTTCCTAGTTTACTACCTCTGAGGTCATCTCCCAATTTTGGCTTAGAAACTGGAAGTCATCAACTTTGACTATCTCCCTACAATCTTCAACATTCAAGGAATTCCTAATTTCCAACATCCTTTTCTTAACATAGAAATTCACCTTAAAGAAGATATTCTATTTCTTTTTTTTTCCAAGCCAAACTGTTTCCAGCTTTATTAAAGATACTTTCCATAAACAATCATGGTATTTCAGGCAGGATGTGGGCAGACAATCATTAACAGTATATAACAAATTTTAAACTCCCTCCTTCAATGGACTACCAAAAAATCCAGAAGCCACTATAAAACCCAATGAAGTCTTCATCTGATGCTCTGAACAGGGAAAGTTTAGAGTGAGGGTTGACATTTCACATTTAGCATGTTGTCTAACAACTTTTCACAAGCCGACCCTGAGTTTCAGGAAGTGAAATGAAAATGGCAGAATTTGTCTGAAAATCCACAATCTAGAAATGGAACCACTGCTCTCTTGACAGGTGCCATCTCAGTGGCATCACTGGAAAGTCCAGATTGCCTGACACACTGGTAACCAATGACTGGGGATCAGGTCCCAACAGATGTCTGGGCTTAAGGGAGTTAAGTCTATGCTGAAGGAGGGAAAGGGAGAAGGGGACATAAAAAATTTTTGTTTCTAAATATCACAAGGCTTTTGTGCCAAGGTGACCATCTGTGTCAAAGTCAGGGAATCCCTCCTCCTGGGAGCCAAGAAGGGCTCAAAACTAGAAGAGAAAGGTGTTTTCCCCACATCAATCCAGCTTCGGGGACATTCTATTAGTGACATATGCCCCTTCCCCCTAAAACGACAATGAAGTGTTCCATGTGCTAATAGCATAGCTTTAAAAAAAAAGTAAAACAAAATTCTGCATTTTTATAAAACTTGATAAAAATATCATTTCAAGCTGTGCAGTCACCAAAAGTACACAGTTATCAAAAATGCACATACTTCATTTGACATCTCCAGCACCTTCAGCTTTCTGTGCCCCGTCTGTTTTGGCATCTCCATTTTCTGCAGGGTTATTCCCCTCCTTGCCAGCATCAGCCTTTCCCTTTTTCCCTTTGGGTACCTTCTCTCCCTTCTTTGCAGGGGCCTTTTTAGACTTGGGCTCTGGCTTTGGAGGAGCAGGTTTAGCCGATAACCTCACAGATCTTCTCTGTGGTTCATCCTTCACCTTGGCTTTATCTCCTTTAGCATCCCCTTCAGCCTTTCTATCGGGGATGGTGGTGGTGGCGACGGTGGTGGGATGTAGGCACTGGGTGCGGGATGCAGCAGCACGCTTGCTTTCATTGTCTGGGAATCATTCTCGCCTCTTCTTCTTCTGAAGATGCTCTCTTTCTTTGGTGAGATTCTTCCCTTTAACTCTTCTGTTCTGTGCCTCAGATGGCATTGCTATTCCATGACTAAAGTCTCAGGGTATAACATCCACCCTCATCACTTGGTAAGATGACCAACTCATCCCAGTTTATCCAGGATTTTCCTGGTTTTAACAATAAAAAAGCTTGTCTCCCAAGGAATCCCTCTGTCCCAGACAAGCCAAGATGGTACTATGATTTGAATATTTATCTTCTTCAAAGTTTACATTGAAATTTAATGTGGAAGTAATCGAGAGGTAAGGCCTTTAAGAGGTGATTGGACCTAAAGGTCTCTTCCCTCTTGAATGGATTAACCCATTCATGGATTACTGAATTAGTAAGTTATCGTCGGAGTGGGGCTGGTGGCTCTATAAGATGAGGAAGAGAGAACTAATCTAGCACATTCATCCCCCTCACCATGAGATGCCCTGCACAGCCCCAGGGCTCTTCAGACAGTCCCCACCAGCAAGGTTTTCACCACTTGTTTTCCCTTGACCTTGAACTGTCCAGGCTCCAGGGCTGGAAGAAATATTTTTTCTTATAAATTACCTAGTTTCTGGTATTATGTTATAAGCAACAGACAAAGTAATAAGACAGAAAATTGATACCAAGAAGTGGGGTTGTTGCTGATAACAAATATCTGAAAATGTGCAAGTGGCTTTGGAACTGAGTAATGGGCAGAGGCTGGAAGAATTTGCAGAAGCAGGCTAGAAAAAGCCTAGATTCTTGTGAGAGCTTAGAAGACAAGAAGACTAGGGAAAGTTTGGACCTCCTTAGGGATTGGTTAAGTGGTCCTGACCAGAATGCTGATAGAAATATGGACAGTAAAGGTCATTCTTATGAGGTTTCAGAAGAACTGAGAAACAAGGTATTAGAAACTGGTGTAAAGGCCATCTTTATTATAAACTAGCAAAGAACTTGTGGGCTTTGTGTTCATGACCTAGGGCTTTATGGAATGCAGAACTTAAGAGCAATTCATTAGAATATCTGTGGAAGAGATATCTAAGCAGCAAAGCATTCAGGTTGCTGGCTGGTTGCTTTTAACCCCTCAAATTAAACTGTGAGAAGGAAAAAAAATGACTTAAAGACGGAATTTATAATCAAAAGCAAGCAAAATGGAAAGATGTGGAAAACTCTCAGCCTGGCCATGTGAAGAGTAAAAAAGTGTTTGGGAGAGAAAACCAAGGGTGTGGCCCAGCAATTTTTTGCTAAGGTGATTAGTACAGAGAGAAGAGATCATCAAAAGAATGGAAGAAGGACTTCAAAGGCATTTCAGAGATTTTCAAGGCTGCCACTATCATCACAGGCCCAGCAACCTAGGAGGGCAGAGTGGTCTGGGGGGTCAGACCCAAGGGTGCCCTCCACAGACTTGCCTCTCAGGATCCCCTTGGGTCTCTGTTCCCTACACTCCAGCACAGTGCTCCTCAGCTACCCCGGTGGTGGCTCAAAGTGTCCCCACTGTTCTGGAAGGTACAAGTTATAAACCTTGGTGGCATCCACATGGTGTTGATTCTGTAGGTCCATAGAATGCAAAAACTATGGAGATATGGCACCTTTCACCTAGATTTCAAAGACTGTTGCTGAAAGCCCGGGAGGCCAGGCAGAGACTTGTCACAGGGACATAGCTACTGCAGAGATCCCCGACTAGAACAATGCCTAGTGGAGATGTGGGGTGGGAGCTGTCAAAGAGCATCACCACTAGGGCACTACTTAGTGGAGCTGTGGGGGCCGGACCATCACTGATACCTCAGAACTGTGGAGTCATCGGTAGCATACAACACCTGCCTGGGAAAGTTTCAGGCACAAAACTCCAACCCATATGAGCAGCCACATAGGCTACACCCAGCAAAGCCATGGGGATGTGGCTGCTAAGGCCTGTGGGGGGACCATATCAGCGCCCTCTAGACTTCCACACTCATAGATAAGAGACTAGATCAGGGAGAAGACCATTCAGGGTGATGATCTCATTTAACTGGACTCCTTGGTGAGCTTGGCTTTGGAGTTCTCTCTTTATACATGTGCGCCTGAGGAGGGAAAGATGGATGGGGGAGAGGCCAAAACTGGGCATTTCTCCATCTAAATGCTTATGGATTCAAGGACCTTGAGAGGCAGACCAGGCCTCTGCTGCATATGTAACCATAGAATATGGGCATCTAGGACCCAAATAGCTCCTGAACAAGGAAGGAGATCCAAGAGATATTCAGGTAATGTTTACAACCCACAGAGAGTGCCCAATTTCTGGTTTCTAAGCCATATGGGACTTCCCAGGAGGGGCCAGTGTAAAGTAGTCAGCAAGCCTTGAACAAGTCACAACTGACTTGGAAACAGTCCTGATTGGTCTGCCCCGATTTCTTGTCCCAAACCTTTCTAGGACGTTTTCCAGTTGCCTCTGATCTTCCTTGGGTTGATTAGTAAGTCATTTCCTGAGTGATTCACATGCCACTTTCAGTCTCCTTCTCAGTCAGTGCCCAGACTCTTCACTGGGTAGGTTTTAAAAATAATAATAAACTTTCGAAGAGCAGTTTTAAGTTCACAGCAAAATTGAACAGGACGTACAGAGGGTTCCCATATACTTCTGTCCCCACACATGCACAGCCTCCCCCACTATCAATATCCTGCACCACAGTGGTACATTTGTTACAATTGATGAATATACCCTTACACCTCATTATCTCCCAAAGTCTATAGTTTTCATTAGCATTCACTGTTGGTGTTGTACATTCTATAGGTTTGAACAAACATACAATCACATGGATCCACAATTGTAGTACCATATGGAATAGTTTCACTGTCCTAAAAATCCTCTACATTTTGCCTGTTCATCCCTTCCTCCCCTCTAACACCTGGCAACCACTCATCTCTTTACTGTCTCCATGGTTGCCTTTTCCAGAATGTCATATAGTTGGAGTCATACAATATGTAGACTTTTCAGGTTGGCTTCTTTCACTAGTGATAATGCATTTAAATTTCCTCCATGTCTTTTCATGGCTTGATAGCTCATTTCTTTTTAACACTTAATAATATTCCATTGTTCAGATGTACCACAGTTTATTGATCCAGTCACCTACTGAAGGACATCTTGGTTGCTTCTAAGTTTTGGTAATTATTAGTAAAGCTGCTGTAAACATCTATTTGTAAGTTTTTTTGTGGACGTAAGTTTTCAACTCTTTTGGGTATATACCAAGGAGCATGATTAATGGATTCTATGATAAGAGCATGTTTAGTTTTGTAAGAATCTATCAAACTGTCTTCCAAAGTAGCTGTCCCATTTTGCATTCCCATCAGCAATGAATGAGAGTTCCTGTTGCTCCACGTCTTCACCAGCATCTGGTTCTGTAGGTATTTTAGATTTTGGCCGTTCTAATAGATGCATAGTGACATTTCACTGTTGTTTTAATTTGCAATTCCCTAGTGACATGATATTGAACATATTTTCATATGCTTACTTGCCATCTGTATGTCTTCTTTGGTTAGATGTCTGTTCAGGACTTTGGCCCATATTTTAATTGGGTTGTTCACTTTCTTTATTTATGTTTTAAGAGTTCTTTGTTTTATGTAACAGTCCTTTATCAGATGTGTCTTTTGCAGATGTTTTCTCCCAGTCTATGATTCATCTTTTGATCCTCTTGATATTGTATTATACAACGTAGAAGTTTTTAATTTTAATGAAGTCCAGCTTTTTAATTCTTTCTTTCACACATCATTCCTTTGTTGCTGTATCTAAAAGGTCATTGCCAAACCAATGATCACCTAAATTTTCTCTTATGTTATCTTCTCAGGGTTTTGTAGTTTTTATTTTTACATTTAGGTCCATGATTCATTTTGAGTTAATACGTGTGAATAGTACAAGGTCTGTTTTTAGATTCTTTTCTTTTCTTTTCTTTTTTTTTGCATGGAAATGTCCCATTATTCCAACACCATTTGTTGAAAAAACTATCTTTTCTTCATTGCATTTGCCCCTTTGTCAAATATTAGTTGACTATTTATCTAGGTATATTTATGGGCTATCTATTTTGTTCCATTGATCTATTGTTTCATCGGTACCACACTGTCTTTATTACCATACCTTTATAGTAAGTCTTCGAGTAGTGTCAGTACTCCAATTTTGTTGTTCTTCAGGATTACATTAGATATTCTGGGTCTTTTGCTTTTCCACATAAACTTTAGAATTACTTTGTCAATATTCACATAACTTGCTGGGATTTTAATTGGAATTGCATTGAATGTATAGATCAAGTTAGGAAGGGCTGACAATAACAATAGAGAGTCCTCCTATTCATGAACATAGACTATCTCTCTACTTATTTTGTTCTTTGATTTATTTCAACAGAATTTTAAAGTTTTTCTTATATAGATTTTGCACATGTTTTGTTAGATTTGTACCTAAGAATTTCATTTTAGGGAGTGTTAATATAAATGGTAATGTGTTTTTATTTCAAATTCCATTTGTTCATTGATGGTATGTAGAAAAGTAATTGACTTCTGTTTATTAACCATGTATCCTGCAACCTTGTTTCAGTGGCTTATTAGGTACAGGAGTTTTCTTGTTGATTCTTTTGGATTTTCTACATAGATTATTATGTCTCCTATAAACAAAGACAGTTTTATTTTTTTTCTCCCAATCTGTATATATTTTATTTCTTTTTCTTGTCTGATTGCTTTAGTTAGGGCTTCCAGTACAATGTTGGAAAGCAGTGGAGAGAGGGGATATCCTTGCCTTGCTTCTCATCTTAGCAGGAAAGCTTTGAGTTTGTCACCATTAAGCATGATATCTAGCTGTAAGGTTTTTAAACAGATATTCCCTATTAAGTTGAGGAAGTTCCCCTTTTATTCCTAGTTTCCTGAGAGTTTTTATAATAAAAGGGTATTTTATTTTGTCAAATGCTTTTTCTGCATCTAT